GTATCTTATCAACACTTTCTTGATGCTCCTTCATCAGGTCACGGAGCGCCTTATTTTCATTTTCCATTTCCTTTACTTTCTTTAGAATGGTTGTGAGTACATCACTACCTACATCAACAATAGTATGAGTGTTACCAGTTCGGGAGGCATCTTGCTCGTCGGTGTCTATCGTGATTTCTACGTGCGCAACGTCCCTGTTTTCCCTTTGGGTGGGTTTGTCAAGTATGTTATTCAGAGTGCTTGTTAGCCATTCTTCCAGTAATCTTTCCACCACTGGTGGTGCCACTTTTGTCAATGATGTGGAGGCTTCTTTTTCACGCAAAGCAGTAATGCTTTCACGGGGGCGAGGTGAAGCATTTTGCCTAAGCGTAGTGCTTGGTGTCACATTTTCATTTTCCTCCTTGTCATCTTCGTTGATAGTGTTCAAAATGTTGGTGGTGACATTTGCTATCACTTTCAATCTTGCATTTTCTTTCCCTGCAATTGTTAGTTTATGCAAAGCTAGGAAAAGATGGCTATATATCCCTTTCTATGATCTAGATGAAACTATGAATTCAACTAAAGAAATCCCCACAGACGGTGCCAAATTGTTTGACAAAAAGATGCCAAAACCTTTATGGTTAAAACAACTAATGATAAAGATAAGGTCAATCTTAGTTAAACACAATAAAACCTACATCAAGCGATGAAGAGAGTAATCAAGATGAATGATGTAACAAATATGTTGGAATCAAATGAATGCTCATAAATGTGAAGACTTAAATGCACAATCAAGCTTGAAAGATGTAATCGGCATTAAAGGGGGGATAAATATGAGATGATTGGGGAATCTTTTTATCTTCTCAGATGAACAAGACTGCTTTTGTATTCACTCTCAGAGGATTCTTTTACAAAGTGTTCTTTTGTCTTTTTTCTCGTGTCTCCCTTTTCTTTACTCACCCTTCCTATTTATAAGGGATAATCTCCCAAAAAACCCTAAAAAATACAACCTAGAGAATATTCGAAAGGCATATTCTTAATGTCTCCTACTAAATTTATGTTGTCGTAGATGTCATACATCGACTGACCGTCCTTAATCGTTGCCTTTTACCACGACGACCATTAAACAGTACATCATGATAACCTCGTTCGTCTTCCTACTCGGTAATGGCCGTGGTTGCCAAATTTGGACCCATACAGTAATATTATTTTTGAGATGGATGTATGGGCATACTAGGTTGGATAGAATTAGGAATGAAGTTATTCAGGACAAGGTGGGAGTGGCACCTGTGGAGGCAAAGATGCGTGAGGCAAGGTTGAAATGGTTTAGGCATGTTAAGAGGAGAAGCACAGATGCCACTGTCAGGAGATGTGAGATGTTGGTCCTGTGAAGTGAGAGGAGGGGTAGAGGCAGGCCAAAGAAGTCTTTGGGAGAGGTGATCAGGTGGGACATGGTGAAACTTGAGCTAACCGAGGACATGATCCTAGATAGAAGAGTGTGGATGTTGAATATTAGGGTAGAAAGTTAGTAGGTAGCCGTGCGTTTTCCTTTGTCTTCTCTAGCTCGATAGTATTAGCGCTAGTACGGTACCTTTTTTCCTTAGTTTGCTATATTCGTATGTCTCGTTTTATTGTTACTTGCCATCGGTAATTCCGTAGTTTACTGGTAGTACTTCGTTCATATTCTCGTTTGCTGCCTTGGAATTAGTTTTCTCAATATGTTATCTTGCTACTACTTGTTTTCGGCACCCCCTTCATATCCTTTGTTCCTATCTTCAATTTAGTTTCCTAATTATTTGTCTTGCTATTACTTGCTATCAGGGCTTCCCTCACCTTCTTTAGCCGAGTGTATCTTTTTTTTTTATAGAATTTCCCAGGCTGGATGGGGAGTTGTATTTTAATAAAGCAAGGAATACAAGAGGGGGATATATCCTTAACCTCCAAAATACAACACAAGGATAAAATGTTATCCTTAAGAAAACTAGGAAGGAGGATTTTGGGCATCTCTTACCCAGTCCAAAATAAAGATCCTAACTAACAAAAAAATCCTTATCATACTTAGTTTTGATGCTAGGCATTCGGTATTTCTCTAATTGATATGGTCCTTTGACATTTTTTGGAAGCTGTTGGAAGGAGAAGTAATAGGATTCCTCTATTGATGTAGCAGCATGTTTAGCAAGGGAATCCGCAACTTGATTGGCCTCCCTATAGCAATGTATAATATTAATATTAGCCTGCTCCAACATCTGAGAAGTGTATTCTATAATGTTGTTCATCTTGTAATTATAAGATCTCTTATTCTTCAGCGTATTAGTCACAATCATGGAGTCTAATTCTAGAGTAAAATATGTGTAACCATGTTCAATACACTAATTTACTCTAAACCAAGGTGCCTGAGCTTCTACATAATTGTTGCTACTGCACTGAGTAGGGATAGAGAAAGCCATAACTATGTCGCCATTATCATTCCTTAGAATCCCTCCCATTCTAGCCATGTTATTTGTCTTTAGGAAGTTGCCATCAGTATTTAGCTTGAAAGTGCCTACTCCAGGCTATGGTGATTCTTGGGATAGGATGTAGCTTCATTTGGTTGTCACAGAGATTATTCTAGAGAAGAGAGAGTTTGCAGTTCGGAAAGGCTTTAGATATAGGTGCTCCAACTATCCAGCAAACTTGTTGGCCCATTTTGAATAAGTTGAATTTCTTTTGGTTGCCATATTTACATGAGCGTCTTTCTTTCCAAATAGTCCAACAGATGATACTTGGAGTGATTTGTAGTACAAGTTTATGTACATCATTCAAGGCCTTAACCTGCCACCAGTTATTAATGGTAAATCTAACTGACCTTTGATGATGCGTTATGCCTAAAGGGAAACCTATTAGTTTCCAAATATAACTAGCTGCCTCTTCCTCCATGAAAACATGTTGAATATTTTCACTTTAGGGAGATGAGAAGCAGTTACATCTAGAAACCATTGGTTTCCCAAAGTTGACAATAACATCATCAAAACGTAGTTTTCTGTTCCACAGTCTCCAAGTAAGAAAAGAAATTTTAAAAGGAATAGAGAAATGCCATACCTTGCTTAAGATTAGTTCTTTAGGTTTGCTAGTTCTGATCGTTTCAAGAGTCGTTTTGTTGGAGTAGTTTCTATCCTCTGACAAGTCCCAAAAATTTTTGCCTGGAATTGTCCTCTTCCTAATGTGAATTTCAATAATATACTGCACCAAAGATTCTGGTAGAATACTTTTAAGTTTGTGAATATTCCACTCCCTATTTTGTATGAAATCCTTGACTAGAATCTTGGGGTTTTTGTTAGTAACGGGGACTAGGGCTGCTAGAGGACCTTTATGAGTCCAATTATCCCACCAAAAGCTACAATCACCTGAATTAACATGCCATACCATGTGATTTTCAGCATTCTTTCTAACTTGGGTCATACGTTTCCATGAATGTGAGTTCCCAGAAGCCCATTGTTTAGTAGTAGGGTGAGCTCTAATGCAATACTTGTGTTTGATGAAGTTGGCCCATAGAGAAGGAATAGCTCTAAATCTCCACCATCTTTTGGTGGCTAATACTTCACTGATATCTTCCATTCTTATTATGCCTATGCCTCCTTCATTTGGAGGAAAACAAAGATTTTTCCAGGACATCCAGTGGTACTTTCTTTGATCCCCACTATACCCTAGAAAATATTGGTAAAATATTTTTCTATTAGATGAAAGGTATCTTTAGGAGGGAACATGGAGAGTGAGTGTATATCAGTAGAGATTGTAGAACATTCTTGATTAACACCATTCTGCCTCCAGGAGAAAGAATGTTACCCTGCCAACCATTGAGTCTTTTAATTACTTTGTGAACTATATTATCAAAGTAAGCAATTTTCTTTCTACCAGCATATAGAGGGCATCCAAGGTAAGTAATAGGAAAATCCTTGTCAAGAAAGCCTATGCATTGTCTCATTCTATTGATCCTGGAGGCACGTGTTTTAGGGGCCGTTAGGAAGAAGCTCTTATCCCTATTAACAAGCTGACTAGAGCTCTCCTCATAATCCCTTATCACCTTCATAATTATGTTAATAGAAATTCTACTTCCACTGCTAAAGATAACAACATCATCAGCATAAGCTAGATAATTAATAGTAGGACCTCTAGAAGGCATAGAGAAAGGAATGAAGTTGTTGTTCCGATTGAGATTATTTAGGGATCTAGATAAAACTTCAGCGGTAAGAATAAAAAGAGAAGAGGAAAGAGGATCCCTTGCTTTAAGCCTTGAGAAGAAGTGAAAAATCCATTTCTAGAGCCATTAATAATTATAGAGTACTAAACCCCAGAGATAAGGTTCTGGACTAACTCTATCTATAATTCAGAGAAGTCATATCTCCTAAGAACTGATGTGACAAATAACCAAGACATTTTGTCGTACGCTTTGGCCATATCTAGCTTAATAAAAATGTTACCTCCCCGATTATTTTGGGAAATACTTTGAATGATTTTCTGAGTAAGAAGAACATTCTCTGTGACCAACCTATCCTTCACAAAACCAGTTTGATTGTCGGAGATAAGCTTAGTCAGAAGGGGTTTAAGTCTAAGAGATAGGACTTTGGAGATTATCTTGTTGGTGAAGTTAGAGAGGCTAATGGGTCTAAATTCAGAGAAAGTGGTGGGCGCATCAACTTTAGGAATCAAAGCAAGATAGGTGTGAGAATAGAACTTGGTGAGCTTCTTTCCAAGAAAAAATTCCCTAACAAAGGCAATGATATCATACTTGATAATATCTCAGCAATGTTGAAAGAAAGCACTATGTAACCATCTGGGCCAGTAGTGCTATCAGTACTTAAGTTAAAGACTGCTTCTTTGATCTCTTCTTTACTAGGAATTGCAGTCAGATTGATGTTTTCTTCTTCAGAGATACAATTAAGGATGAAGTTAAGGATAACAGGGTTGAGAGTAGGCTTCGGAAGATTGAAGAGAGACTCAAAATGATGCATGGCAGCCTTGGCAATGTTCTTCTCTTTCTTAATTCATTTCCCTCTATGGTTCTTAATCATGTTCAACTGTTGTTTCCTTCTCCTTTTCCTGGTATTGCTATCTCCCTCGTAAAACCATCTAGTCTGAGTTTTCTGTTTAAGGAAAGACTCTTGCATACTCAACCATTTAATATATTCAGCATGTGCTTTATTCGATTCTTCCATGTTGTTATCAAAGATGGTAGCAACATCCATATCCTTAAATATTTGGACTTTTTTCGCCCATTTTATAATCAGATCATTGATGTCCCCAATCTCTTCTCTAGACCACTGGCTCAATCTCCTGCTAAGAAACTTCAATTTAAATTGTAAGATCCACATGTGATTGCCGATTATATTGGACTCCCAGACTTCTTTAACAATGTCTAGGAATCCCTCTTAATTAACCCATAAATTAAGAAACTTGAAGTAACTGATGTAGCTTTGGTTAGTGTTAAAGCACTTCATGAGTAACGGCCTATGATCAAAGCCAGTTCTAGCCAATTGTCTCACAGTAGTGCTCTTTGACCTCTGATCCCACGTGTCATTAATAAAAATCCTATCAAGTATTTTCCAAATTCTCTTGCTAGGCCTTCTATTATTGCACCATGTAAACTTAGAACCAGAAAAACCAATATCAATCACCCCACAATTGTCCATGCAATTAATAAAATTCAAGCATCTATGAACCATATAAGGCCTTCTTCCTAGCTTTTTATCTGGATTGGTAATGACATTGAAGTCTCCTCCAATATACAAAGGACCATCAATGCTAAGATTGTCTTGTTCAAGGCTGTTCCAAAGGTCTTTTCTTTCAGTTGAAGTGCATTTTGCATAAACTGCTGAAATATAAGAACCGTGGTTGTTAACACCATCTTCAAACTTTATGGTAATATGTTGCTCATCCTCAGCTATAAATATAGAGTCACAGTTGATGTTCCAGAAGTACCAAATTTGGCCATTGTAGTTGGAGATACAATGTTGAAATCCAAGAAACTTCCTGTAACCACCAAGCTTTGCATTATTCACAAAAGACTCAAAGATGACCACAAAATGTGTCTTATTTATGTTGATCAAGTGTTTAAGTCTATGAATGGCTTTCTTTGATCTCACCCCTCTAATGTTTCAAAAAATTGTACTGATCATTAAAATTAGTTGGGGATAGATCCTCTTGTTGTTTCATTTTATGTAAAGGAGCAACTTTGTTCATGTGTCTTCTTTCATTTTTCCTAGTTTGGATTCTTTCTCCTTCCTCGGTGGTACCTGTTTGATATTTGTTGTTCATCTTGTCTTGAAGACTTTTGTTAGTCTCCTGAGTATTTGATTTTGTTTCCTTGCGGCATTTAGAAGTTATCTGTCTAAGAAAATCACTAGTAACCTCATTCTAAGTCGGATGGATAAATTTGGGAATATTAAGTTCAACAAACAAATTCAGTCCGGTTTGATTAAAAATATATGATAGTAAAGTGGATGAACTAGAGCTATCACTGACCATATTAGCAGTTGATATTCTTGATCAACCATTGTGTTGTTGTCAATATCCCCAGGCTTACCCTTATCATGCCTTCTATCTTCTTTAGAAATGTTTGGAGCTTCTACAATATCTGCAGTAGGTTTATTATCCATAATAATTGTTTGTACCTGTTGTTGGTGACTCTGTTTCCGTTGATCACTCTGACTTTGAATACTCTCTTTGATCTCTGATAGGGACTGTTCACTTTGAATATAATTGGTGGCTTTTGCTATCCTTTTTTTACTATTTTCTTGCACTTGAAATTTTTTGAATATTACTTTGCTTTTTTTGGCATTTTCTTGACTTTTTTCTTTTTTTTTCTTCCTCTTGCTTAGTCTCTCTGTAACTGTAGGTCTTGCTGAAGATATAGTCACATTATTAATGTTAGCTTGTGCTATCTCAGCTCTTTATTGGTTCTCATGACCCTGCTTCTTATTAGCTTCAACTTTACCATTTGTACTCCCATTTACCATATAGCTGGCTGCCTCAATTTTTTCCTCAATAACTTTTTTTTATGATTCAGCAACTTCTTTGTTGGTAGGCACCTCTCGTTTCTTATCATTAATATTAGCTTTCTATTTTGCCACACCTTTATCAACTTTTGTAGCATTCTGCTTTGCCATATTCTTCTTTTGGCCTCCATTGCCTGCACTATTCTCTTTCTGATTTTTACTACTTCCTTCTTCTGTTTGCAATGGAATCATATTTTCAGCATTTGTTTCCCCTTCATTGACTTCTATAGTTCTTATTTTCTCAAGAACTCTACAATTCATCATATTGTGCCCAATTTTCCTGCAATGCTTGCAATACTTAGGAATGTTTTCGTATTCAATTTTTTGTGTATACCCTTTTAGAGGTGAATTCTCATCCTCGGAGCCCACCCATACACTACTAGGTATGGGTTTCGTTAAGTCTATTTCGACCCTTACCTTAGCCATACTTGGCCTTGTTTTACCATAAGTGGCAGCATCTAAGGCCAACGGAGTGCCAACATTACTGGCAATTTGTTTAACATAATGCCATGTATGCATATTGAATGGTATACCTGGAAAAAGTACCCATACCGGGACAATTGGGATGTCTTCATCCAGCTTAAAATCCGGCGACCATTTTTGTAGCCATATTTGTAATCCTTTAATTTCAATCACTCTCCTGTGCCATACAGATTTGAAGTCATCTTCATTGGTGAAATCTATGAAAATATTGTAGTTGTCATAGACTCCAATCTTGGCATCACCTTTAATTGGAAAAAGCTCTCTGAAATTGGACCTTATCCTTTCGATTTGAGGACGAGGCTTTAGAAACCTACCAACAATAGTTAATTTGCATTCTTCAGTCATGATTTCGTAATAGTCTTTAGCTTTGAAAATCATTGCCGACATCCCATTGTGAGCGGTTTGTCAAGTAATCACTGATTCTCGAGGGTGTCGAATGGTGGTCGTTAGAGTAGCTGTTGCGTTAGTTACAGTGGTGGCACAAGTTAATTTTCCAGCAATTGCTTCAGTAGTTGGAGTCGTCGTGGAGGTTCATTTTGGCTGTCAATACATGCCCTTTGGACACCGTCCGATGGTTCCATGAGGTGGAGCGTAGGGTTGACTCGTCAAATATGTTACCGTTAAGGGCCAACATTAGTAATTGTACGGAGAGAAAAATAATCAGTTGATTGTGAGAAATTATTGAAGCAACATAAATATATTTTAGAATCAATATTGAAGACTCTGAAATCTCTAATAGGACCAAAGTATCAAGGAAGTATCTTCATCAAGTCATAGAGGAGAAACTAGGGAACAATCTCTCTACCCTTCCAGGGTAGGGGTAAGACTGCGTATATCCTACCCTCCCCAGACCCTATTTGTGGGACTATACTGGGTGGTTGTTGTTGTTGTTGTTGTTGTAATCCAAATTAGCCGTTTTGTACATTTGGCGGCTTGCGTGAATGGCCGTTTTATAAAACAACCATTTTGAGTTGCAGCCTTTACATGAAGAGTTGCAACTCTTCGGTATTACCCAACTTTTTGGCTATAAATATATGATCTTTCCCATAAATTTTTCTTACAAAAATTGTGATATCTCTTTCTTGCTTCTGCATTGTTTTTAACAGAAAGAAAGCAATAAGTGTGATTTGCTACCGATCTTTGAGTTCGTTGGTCAGTGGGGTTTGAAGTACCGCTACACCAGTGAAGATAATCCATTCTATCCTGGAAGAAAATAATCCTAAACCTCGAGTACTAGAAAGGGATTAAGTTTCTTAAGGAAACATTGTGAATTAAGTAGGCTCGGATTAATTTCCGTTTTTCTACATTTCTAATTTTACTTTGTTTCTATTTTCAAATACAAATTACTAACAGAATCTCCTTTTCTTTTTAGTAAAAGTATTTTGAGGTGAATGAAACGTAAAATGGTATGAACCGTCGGCTAATTAGCATATTTTCCCCTATTTAATTTGTTGGAAGTCAACCGTGAAATTCTTTTTGAGAGAATGAGGTAATAGAAACAACTGAACTAGCAACTCAAGAATGTTGATGGATTAAACGCGTGTAATATAAAATCATATTATTCTCCCAAGAACATAAAAAATGTTCAAAATTTCGGTTTTGATTAAATATTTTAGTTAAGACTTTTATTGTGAATAATATGAGGAATCAATTGTGATTTAATTTCGATATGACAAAAAGATTAAAAAAAGCTGTTGAGATTTCAAACTTAATAATAGCTGAATAAATATTAATGACTATGCTTTATTTTTTTGATATCCGTTTTGAGGTCTCGATTGACCCATAAACTCGTTATAAGGAAACCACTCCCCTACCGACCATGCTTTATTACGAAGATGTAAAGGGTAGTTTTGCAAAGATCTAATTAATCAACACAGGCAACTACTTTATATTTTCTTTGCTGCTGATTATATTTCGTATTAAGCATCTCACTAATATCGGTTTTATGGAAACATGCGCTGTTAACGTGCAGAGATCCTCGAAATTTTCTAATTTCGTTTTTTTTTTTTTTTTTTTTTTTTTTTTTTTTTGCAGACATAAAAATTATCATGTACTATAATATTTTTATTTAATAAAAAAGAGCAGACAGATCTTTTAGGAGCTCTAAAGGTCACAATCAAGAGCAAACAAGAATCAAGAATACGAGGTTTAAATTATCATTAACGAGGTAAATTATTTAACTATAATCAAGTTGTCATATTTTTTCTATGATAATCAAATTTTTAATTAACCATAAACTGGCGATCCGCTCAGGATGCTTTTGTTTTCCTGAAACAAACATTATCTTCAACTAATAATCTTTAAATAAAAAATACGCACTACATTATTTTAGGGACCACTTCAATAACTAATTAATCAATTATTACCCACTATTTCATCTTTAAAATCCGTACTTTGGACTTTTGGGATCTCGATGTTAATCAGTACTATTACTACTACTACTGCATGCTAGTATTTTACTTGTCAAGAACAATATTGGACTAAGAGACTACTTCTTATTCATTTTATGAAATAAAACTAATAAGAAGGAAAAGAAATAGCATTCAATGGCGAACCAATAATCAAAATGAAAGATTGTGGAAATTAAAACATTTTATGAATATTTTAAACAGATTATAAGGAAAACTTTCAAGCGAAAAAAATTGAGAAAAATAAGCAATGAACATATTTTAAAATTGATCGTGTCTTTCATGAATTGAGCACTTGTAAATAATTTCTTATGAATATATTCGAAGAGGTAAAATCGACGACTTTGTTCTTGTAATCTAATTCTCTCGGAAATTTCTCAGAAAAACGTAAAGAGAGGTAAAAGAAAGGAGGCAACAGACAACAGTGCGTGATTTCCTGGATTATTATCGCGTATTTTAGTCATTGGAACTAGATATTCTCTAAATCCAATGATAACTTTAGCTTATTGAAGAGAAAATGACACTAAGGCTCGTTGTATTTTATTAAAAGTTAAAGCTATGTTATGAAAAAATGGGTAGGAGTGAAATACTGTCATATATATTTTTTAGATTTTCGAGGATATGACACTTGATAGGAAGGTGTGGAGGTAGAACATTAACCAGCGGTTAATGTTGTGTTCACACTATTCTTCTATTTTTCATAGTGTCGGGCCTTCTTTACTGGTTATTGTTATTGTGTTTCATCTATTTTCTGGTTCTTATGATACTGTTATTATTTCTATCTGTTGATGGTACTACTATATTGTCTCTTTTCCTCTTTTGCATTTTCTTGAGCCGAGGATCTATCTGAAACAGCTTCTCTACTCCATTGGGATAGGAATAAGGCATACGTATATACTATCCTTCCCAGATATTGTACATGTGAAATATTACTGGGTTGTTATTTTTGATACTTCAAAATAGAAAAAAATATCATAGTCCTATAAAATTTCACCAAAAAGTATAATTTGTTTCTCTTTTTTACCTAATAATGTCATCCTTCTAAATCTATGATTCCATTTAGGCGAGTGATTTCAGAATTCCCACTAACTTTTATTATAAAAAAAGATGGATAGAGTCGGATTTGTAAATTTCGGGGTTGTTTTCGACGATTGAAGAAGAGAAGTTTTCTTCATGTTGAAGAAAACTACGTGTCTGTTTTTCTGCTTTTAGGAAGAAACAGAAAATTCTAGCTTCCAAAAAGTAAAAGTAGTGTCACAATCCGCAATTTCAACCGTCGGGATCATGATAGCGCCTAACATTTCACTTGCTAGGCAAGCCAACGTTAGAGATCATTAAACCAATTCTTAAACCTTTCAATAATTAACAACAATTAAACCATAACAAGTTGAAAAGAGTGCGAAAATCCTTAACAGTCTCAATATATAAAGCTACGCAGAATCTGGAGTTACAATCTACGAACTTCTAAGATTTAACTACAACTAATGTCTCAAAGAAATACAACTGTTTGCGATACAAAGAAACAGTAAAGTGAATGTATAAAAGGTGGCGCCAGGGTCTGCGGACGCCAACAGGTCTACCTTGGGTCTCCGATCAGATGAAGCTAGCAGCTAAATTCAGGATCAGCTCGGACCGGTACCAACATCTGCACAGAAACTGCAAAGTGCAGTATCAGTAAAATCGACCCCATGTACTGGTAAGTGCCGAGCCTAACCTCGGCGAAGTAGTAATGAGACTAGGATAAGACACATACATAAACATGTGCAGTTAAACAGTATACGAGCATAATAACAACTAATAGAAACTAAACAGATAATAACGGGAGGGGGAAACATGCTGAGGGGAGTACAACATCATGAAAATGGTAACAGTAAAGAAACACAGCAAACAACATGCTTTGCTCCAATGGAAATATTAAACATAGCAAAAATAAGTGCATGGCATCGCCATTCGTGCTTTTACTCTCATCCTCACCATAATAAATGAAAGAAATAATGATAAAGAATATAGAATGGCACGGCATCACCCTTCGTGCTTTACACTCTTCCTCACATGATAATGAATATAAAATGGCACGGCATCGCCCTTCGTGCTTTACACTCTTCCTCACATGATAATGAATATGAAATGGCACGGTATCACCCTTTGTGTTTTACATTATTCCTCACATGATAATGAATATAAAATGGCACGGCATCGCCCTTCGTGCTTTACACTCTTCCTCATATGATAATGAATATAAAATGGTATGGCATCACCCGTCGTGCTTATACTCTGCCTCGCCAAAATAAAGTACAATAACAACATGGAGATAAAATTATCAATAACAGGTCTCAGTTCAACATTTAGTTCCACAATGTTAACCTCAACTTTGAGGCAATACTCAATCAATATCAAATTGCGTAAAACATTATAAGAGTTGCTCAACATAAAAATAACTAGTCTAAGCATGAACAATATGATTAAATAATACAACGATTAAAAGAATAAGACTCACTCGCATGCTATGACTCGAGAACAACGCATATGTACTCGTTATCTCACCTATACGTTGTACTCAATAACCAAACATGTAGCAAATAGGCAACAATACCTAATCCCTCAAGCCAAGGTTAGACACAATACTTACCTCGCTCTATGGGCCACTAAATGCTCAATTACCGCTTTTACTTTTGTATTCACCTCCGAACCACTCGTATCTAGTCACAATTAACTCAATAACATCAAATATTGCTAAAGAAATTAATTTCAATACATGAATTTAGGTTTCCCAAAACTTTCCCCAAAAAGTCAAAAATTGACCTCGGGCCTACTTGGTCAAAATTCGAGGTTCGAACCAAAACTCATTCACTCATTTACCCCCGAGCCCGAATATGTAATTAGTTCCGGAATCTGATCTCAAATCGAGGTCTAAATCCCCAATTTGCAAATCCCCCC